CAACAATGTACATTCACAGAAACTATCTTCAAGGATACACACAAAGCGCAAGTTAGCTCCATATTAGGAGCATCTCTGTGCAAAGGAGCAGGATCAGAAGAGATCATGAGGGGGATTTTTCGCTTTTTACAGCACAACTTCTACATCTCAACTTTCCTTTCCTTTTTTTTTTTTTTAAGATTTTATTTATTTGACAGAGAGAGCGCGAGAGCAGGAACACAAGCAGGGGGAGTGGGAGAGGGAGAAGCAGACTTCCTGCCAAGCAGGGAGCCTGATGTGGGGCTCAATCCCAGGACCCTGGGATCATGACCTGAGCCGAAAACAGACGCTTAACAACTGAGCCACCCAGGCGCCCCTACATCTCAACTTTTCAAAAACACTCACTCAGATTATTGTATAATGGCTTAAAACTGTATTTAAAATACAAGCAATAAGGGGAGCCTGGGTGGCTCAGTCGTTAAGCGTCTGCCTTCGGCTCAGGTCATGATCCCAGGGTCCTGGAATCGAGCCTTGCATCGGGTTCCCCGCTCCGCGGGAAGCCTGCTTCTCCCTCTCCCACTCCCCCTGCTTGGGTTCCCTCTCTTGCTGTGTCTCTCTGTCAAATAAATAAATAAAACCTTAATAAATAAATAAATAAAATAAAATACAAGCAATAAGAGGCAATGTTAGTTAAAAAAAAATATGAGCTATTAAAAGGAGCTAAATGGGCAAATCTAATACCAACATCTAACACATACAGAAAACTCTAATCTCATTTGAATTTTACAATACTATGAGTTAGGCAAATCAGACAGTCGGCCCTTTTAGTAAATGAGAAAAAGGTTAAAAAATTTTAACTTCTACAACAAATGCATTACATTTTTAAAATGTTCTTCACTTTAGCCTTTAAATTATCTTTAAAAAAGGTAAGATTTAGCTGGGGCGCCTGGGTGGCTCAGTCAGTTGAGCATCCAACTCTTGTAGTGTTTTGGCTCAGGTCATGATCTCGGAGTGGTAGGATCGAGCCCCATGTCCACCTCTGAACTCAGCAGGGAGTCTGAGATTCTCTCCCTCCCTGCCCCCCTACCCTGCTCATGCTTGCGCACATGCTCGCTCTCTCTCAAAATAAATCTTAAAAAAAAAAAAAAAAAGGTAAGATTTAGCTGTAAAGCTTTAAGACCAACTATATCTGATTACACAGTTTTTACAGAAAAATAAAACGCGTTTACTTAGTGGCCTTTACACGTTTAAGAAACACAAAAATAATCATTAAATAAAGTCATAAAAGAAGAATTTATTTTTTTTTTTAAGATTTTATTTATTTATTTGCGAGAGAGACAATGAGAGACAGAGAGCATGAGAGGGAGGAGGGTCAGAGGGAGAAGCAGACTCCCTGCTGAGCAGGGAGCCCGATGTGGGACTCGATCCCGGGACTCCAGGATCATGACCTGAGCCGAAGGCAGTCGCTTAACCAACTGAGCCACCCAGGTGCCCCCAACAAGAATTTATTTTTATTATTCTCCACCGTGCTTGAAATGTTTAATGACTTCTCAAAGACATTTTATCCTAAAATAGTAACTCCAAAAAAATCTGAACTTTTAGATTTCAAGTTGCTGTATGAATAGTTTACTCAAAATACTAGTAATCCCTTAGGTAAATTCTGAAGTTTAAAGCACTTGGGAAAATGTCATTTATTACATACAGACATACTGTCTATAGACACTTATGTCTACAGATTATATAGCTATAACTAGTCAATTTAGCAAAGCTTGAGCCTAACAGGTGCAAAACTGACTCTAGTGGCCCAGAGCACATCAGCTATCTAAAAGGCATAATTTTATTTAAATAAAACTTTAAAAAACTTAAATAAAATGCATAATTTTACAATCCAGGATAGGGCATGCTTTAGAAAATCATTACAGTAGTTAAGACAGTATTTTTTTTCCTAAACAGCCAAAACAGAAGGAAAAAGTCTAACCAAATACATAGTACATGAGTTGGAAGACTATTATTTCATCTGCATATATACACACAACCAAACAGTTAGATACCAAAGAATTTGATTTATGTGGCAATATAGAAAAATTTTAAAACATTCACTTAAAAAACTTCTGACCTGGTCACTGAATATCATCTGCACTCCATTCTTAAAAAACAAAACAAAACAACAAAACCCGAACCTACTCAACACAATATTCAACACTGACGATTCAACTTTATGTGCTCACACATTATAACATATTTAGCAATTGCATTTCACACAAGTTTAAGTTCAGTAACTTTGAAGTTTGCCAAGTAAAGTGCTAAAATTACTGGAATGCAAGCAGTGCACCTTCAAGAGAAGCAATTCTTCTACTGATCTGCAATAATCAACTGTGTATTGAGAGGTTACCTTGTGCCAAATGCTATATTTTAATAAAGTAACACGTTTAAATTTAAAACCACAGGCTGAATACTGATTGAAAAAAGGCAGTCTTATAAAGGATTAATACATAAGATACATTAATTCAAAGTCAATTGTTTAACTCATTCAAAATAGAATTTATAGTTGATGAAATTATAATTTCAGAAGGACCAAACTATGGAGCTCTCATGCTGAGTAACAGAAAAATTTACTAAAAATAAACATGCACACATTCAATATGTCACTTAATCCATACATTTTTTAACTTCAAAAAGTATCCCCAAATTATCCTCTTCCATCTCAAATAATATACGTTAAAATATTTAATAATTCAATCCCATAAGGTACCAACACAAAAACACAAAACCAAATTTAAGTTAGCTGAATACTAGCACTACTATATGACACTTAGTCAGTAATGCTAGTAAGCCAACACAAAGTAGAAACTGTAATTCATATTACCTAAGCAGCCATACTGAAAAATGCTTTCAAAAAATAAAGCACTTTTTTTTTTTTAAGATTTTATTTGAGAGAGAGAGAGAGAGAGAGATGGAGAGCACGAGTGGGGGGAGGGGCGGCAGCAGCAGCAGCACGAGAAGCAGACCCCCCGCTGAGCAGGGAGCCTGACATGGGGCTCAATCCCAGGACTCTGGGATCATGACCCCTGAGCCGGAAGACAGAGGCAGCCACCCAGGCGCCCCAAAGCAATGTTTATTCTTAAAACTCAGCATAATATACATTCTCTTGCACATTAAAGATGCCTAGCGTTTTCTCTGAAATTTAAGAAATTTTTTTTCAAAACGTTTAAGTACATCACAGTTTGTCTCCCCACAACCAACCACCCAATAGCCATCCAGTTTGGTGCTTCACCCAAGCCCCGAAACATTCGCAGGTTTCACCTTGAGGGGGTAATGAGGAGCGTTTTCCAAGGATAAAAGTTCTACGTGTTCAGCAGCACAAATCTCTCACATACGAACTCAGCTCAAATGGTATGAAACTAAAGTGTACTCTTCCTATTTTTTAAGTTATTAATCCCATAAAAACCTTCAAGGTGTTTACAATTTTAAAGCTGATTGCACGTATTTGCAAGAAAACCATTAGGTTTTGATACTGAGAGGTTATAAGTTTTGAAACATGCTTTAAAAACTTTATAATTTCATCAGCTAAAATCTGAACTCACAAGAGGCACACTGGAAGAGACACGATACCAAACAGGAGCAAACTACACAGCACGCACCTACCATGGGGAATGCCCAAGGATTCAACACAACCAACCAGGGGAAGCTATAAGCTCCTATCTGAACAATGATTCCACTAAAATAAAAAAGTAAAATGTCACAGCCCTACTAGCCCTTGCCTATTTCTCCACTTTCTCAATAGTATAAAAAGATTCTTAAAAGCCATGAGAGAAATCCTTAAGAATAATTAAGTGGTTCAGTTACAAGCAATAATTTAAGAGCATTTCAAACTCACAATGACTTTCCTTACACAACAGGACAAAATTTTACCAAAGAATATCCCACACCTGACCAACAGTAAGAACGTATGTAACCAAAATGGCAATATTAAAGTTTCCATTTAACCCATTAACCATACCTTAGAAACTTCAGTGTTAATAAATAAAATATTTCATTTAGTTTTTCAACTTGAATATTTCCACATGCTTATTTTAAATTCTATGCACGGCCCCTGAATATTTTCTTCTTCGTAACTTCTAAGTTTAGAACACTTCTGAAATGTCACATCCCATTCCAATACTAATCCTGAGAACTGAGAATTAGGTTAAATGTTGTACCTAATTTTTAAACTATGGGAGTAATAGATTTGAATTAATCTCCCTTAAATAAATGGCTCTATTACAACATATTAAGTCCTTCCTCACTTCACTGTTGACTTAATAAAATCCAAGTCTTCCACCTTGCCTCAACAGTAGCAAAACAGTTATTCTAAATAGTGATTGGCAAACACTCCAAAAAGCTGGAATCAAATTGCTTTGAAACTGAAACAAATGTATGCAGTATGAAGCAATTTTGAGGAAATAAAAAAAAGCACACCCCCATGGAAGAGCTTAAATCTATAAAATTTAAAAAACAAAACCTTTTTATCAAAGCCACAAACTACATCCTGAACTGATCTGCCAAAGTCCAACACAAAATTTATATATACAATGAAGTTTGAGAATCCGCTGTGATTTAACTCTATGCTCTATTAGCTTAACAGAGAGCCTGAATAACAGATTAAGATGGCAAAGCCATTTTCTAAACCAAAATGAACCTGAGTATCTAAAAAGGTTTTACATCATCCCTAATGATATATCCAAGATCCACGATTAGGCCAAGTGTACACCTTTAAATTCATTTCACAGTTTTGTTTTATATATGTGAAAGGGTCCACGCCAGATAAATTCATTACTTCTCTTCAGCATAGCACTGAAATTGTCAAGAGGCTCATCAAAACATTACTCCCAGATTAATCAATTTCAGTTGTTACTTGATGTTAGCACCAAAATAAGCATTCACGAAAGAATAAAAGCAGAAGTTTTTAATAACAAAAAGAAAACCCCCAAGATAAAGATTAGAAGAATTTTAAAAAGAAAAAATTGTGAAAGGAAGCTCACCTGCAGTTAGGTGGAGGGTCTAAAGTGATGTCTGCCAGTTCCTTCTGAATCCTGGAATCAGGGAAGTGAGAGAGAAACACAAGAAACATGAAGGCGTTGGTAGCCTCCCACCGTAATGCATAGGTCTGGCAGATAAACCTAACTGCCTGCCATGATAACTGGGTTCTACTGAGGGAGAAGGAAACTACACATCAAAAGCTTCAGGTCCGTAGGTAGAAAAAAACTTTTTTCCCACAGGCAGTGAGCTGGTGGTCCGGAGTCTCTTGTTATTCTCTAAAATGTTTCGGTTCCAGTCTTGCCTCGCACACTAAGGCAGCTGTATTTCTCGGGGTTTTCCATTTAGGAAATAATTGTAAAGCTTCTGGCTTGCGGACTCGTTTCCTAAGTTGCATTAGAATGTGCCTGGACACCGTCACTTCTGCGCTGCACTTACTCTCCCCTGGACCGGGAAACCCAAGCCGCCGCGCGGGTGGGAAGGGCGCGCCCCCCCCAGTCTCCGCCCGGGGTCACCACTGGCACCTCGGATGCCCTCCGGGCCGCCTCGGCAGGGCGCCCCCCCCACGCCGCCCCGCGTCCTCAGTGACGAAGCCAACATGGCCGCTCCCCGCGAGGCCCCTCGGGCCCTGACTGACCTGCCCGGCGTCGCGGGGTGCCGGCGCGGCGCAGGCCGCAAGGCCGA